CAAAAGGTAATTAAAAGTGTGCCAAAAGACACATGGGGAATATGGATTTCTGTGCAGTGCAAAGTGGCTGTGAAGTAATTCTCTCTAAGAGAAACACATACACACCTGCTCATTCAGTGAGAATCAAGGACCCAAAGGAACCTGTAAATCTATTATTCTCTACCCACGCTCCTGACTACAGGCCTCCCACTTACAGATGGCAGACCTTACTGTTCTCACGACAACTGAACTGCAAAATTATCATTTGAATCCCTGTAAAGAGCACACAGAGAGGAGCAGAGGGAGAAAGATTAACAAAGAGCTGACATTTTTTTCCCATAATACCTGTTGTTCTTTTGCTCATCATGCAAACGAAATCTGTGAGTCAGCTCTAAAGCTCCTTGCAGACTGTGAAAGAACTTTCATCAACCTGGCAATTCGACTGTGATAAATAACAAGCAATTAGCATTACAGTTTTTAAAACTTTTTTATGAATCCTGCTGAGAAATAACAGATTTAACTTCTTTCATTCTGCTGGGATGGTCCATAAAAGCATCATCTGCAAATGTATCCTTGTAAAAATGAAAAGCTGCCAGACAATATAATAAGAATCAGCTGAATCGAGTGACACAGATCTCTATTTCCTGTCATTAATCTGTAATGTCTCTTTTCTGCTCCAACATGAGTTGTGTTGTCACTGCTATGTGGCCCAGCTGTGGAGCTCAGGATAATAGAGGATTCCGTAAGCGCCCGCACTGTGCAATAATGAAAAATGCCCCATGCTGCGAGATTTCATAATCCGTCTGAGGCCTTGGACCTGGTCGCTGGTCCATGGAGAGAGTCTCATTAAACTTCTCATTAGTGACACACTGAGCTTCTGTAATGACTGAATGAAAATACAAATCACCTCAGACATGAAAGGAGGGACAACAACGATGGTCCCAGGCTGCATCTCTGTGCTGCCAAATCTTCTGAGAAGAGCATTTGCATTTGGCAAATGGAACCGTAGTGCACATCTGTTTACGGTCTGAAAATTTGTAGTCTCACATAGCCAGCCCTATCTTGTGCTGTGCCAGTGTTGGAAAAGATCTGCCTGAAGCCATCGGAATTCTGCACAAAGGTTAAAAAAAAAGAAGCTCTGGGCTGTTTGTATTTCTCTAAACCAATCACAATCTTGGGTGGTGCTTCGTCTAGGATGCAGTGATGGTGCTAAATAGTATTGAGACATTTGTACATTTGCACATACATAATAGCTGAATCCCTGCAGAATAAAACGCCACATAAAACAACAGACGTTTTAGTGTGAAGGTTGCTACTTCTGAGGTTGATGTTGTTTCACACACAGCACTCAAATGAAGTGCAGAGATGGTTCTGGATATGCAAGACTAGTTTTAATAGCAATGGGGATTTTGTCTGTAACAGGCGGCAATTGACTGGCTTGACATCTAAGGCTGTCGTGATACCTCCAATACTGCAAACACCACACTACTGACTGGTCAGCTGCAAGGGATGGCAAGCTTCTTTCTTTTCATGGGATCGCAGATGAGGCGCTGAACATCTATTCTACGCTGAGTGCTGCACATTTTGTGGTCACTAAGAGTTAAATAATATTCCCTGTTGAGTAAAACCCTGCAGTTGCTTGTCATTTTCACTTTTTACACAGCTGTCCACTCACACAGTAGGAGTACAAATACCACAGAGACTAACCGTCACATTGCAGAACAACAAAAATTGAGTAGAAATGAATACTGAACCTACACAGTGAGTCCATTCTCTCTCTCTACATGCTTTAGCCTTCCCTTCACCCAGAGCAAGGACCAGAGCAAGGAGGTACTCTACCTTGTGGCAACATTTTAACTTCTGCAGATGTTCAGTACCATAGCAACCAGGCGCAACCAAAGCCTCTCAGCTGAAAAAAAAAAAAAAAAGGCTGCGCCCCTCATTGCTCCTGTGTGTTCTGCATTTTACAATGAACAAATACTTAATTTGTTTCAAAACTGTGTCATCTTTGTCATCTAAAAGCAACAATGTACCTACTAATAGTCTAACAACAATGCTTATTTACAAAGCACTAAAATCAGGACAACAAAAAATAGCATTATTCTGCATATTGCGCTGTTGGGCCACCCTTAATCACTGCAAGGGAAATTCCATCACAGCGACAGCCCCACTTATACCCACAGTCTGCATCCTGTGAGCCAGACTGGGAAATTCGTAAAGAATGGATCCCCATTACATTCATACATGTATGCACTGTACCTCTAGACATATCTCCTATCCACTTGCTCACTAACAGAGGAGTACTCTAAACAAACACAAATCTGCATCTCTGGTAGAAAGCTATCATGAATCAAATCAAAGTGCCTTTTCATCCACTGCACTGTAAATTTATGCTGTTTATTTCAATATATAAATTCTTGAAAAGGGCAGTAATGATCGCACTTACAATCTCAGGCCACATGATGAGTGGAATACTGTCATGATTGCTTGTGCAGAGGTGCTGAGACTGTGTGGGTGAAAGGCTGTTTTTGAGGAGGCTCTGACATGCAATCATATTTTTATTACCAGCCGGTCACATGGTGAGGACTGAAAGGAGCGGCCGAGCAGCATGCTTGTATGAGATGGACGAATTCAATTTAGCAAACTGTTTATGTCACATTCTTTCTCATTTAGGTATATGAACATTGTGTTTTTAAAAGGGAAATTCTAAGAAAATGCAAAATACTGTCATCTGCAGTTTATTAAGAAAGCTCTGATTCTAAAGATGCATTTATCACCGGAGGACCTTTTTCCCCACACATCTGATGCGCAGCAAGACAGCTGGTGCAGCACACCCTTGTCCATGCTCACAGAGGGTGACAAAACTTAGAAAGAAAATAAAGCCATCACACTCTGAATTGACATGAGCGGGATAAAGAGGGCTCTGTGCAGAGTGTGTGTGCGCACACGTTTGCACGGTCCGCATGCCTGCTTGGTTCTGCAAATGAAACTTTGTATGAACACTCTGATCAGCGCACCCCTTGGCTGGAGTGGAGCCTGGCTATGAATATCAATTTTGCATTCATCGCTAGCTGCTTCCCCCGATGCACCACCTGACACAAAAGAGAATCAGCTTTCTGTTTGTGTCAGCGTTTACCAAGAAGCGCTGCACGGCTCAAAAGAGGGAGCCTCCTTCACACGGCCTCTTTACCTCAAGGGCATCGACAGACTATATGTGTTGTCTAAATTGTATAAACGTGGGTACAATGAACGTGTGCGGCAGTTGTCTGAGGCAACAAAAGACTTTTTAGCTTCCAGGTATCAAAGCAGCTGTGAGCATCAACCTCCAAGAACTCACGTCATGTGAGGCAAAATGACATGACAACAGCTCAGTGCAGTCACCTATTTACAGTACTGTAGGTCCACTTACAAACACACACAGGCAACCAACACACATAAATGGCACTACTTAAGCCATGTACAGGGTATTGTAAAGGGCTGATTTCTTATTGGCTTTTTTCAAGCAGTGAAGAATAGCATGCGGCTTGCTGGTATCAGACTAATCAGAGTTTTTATTGATTGCCTGTGTAATCATTGCCCTCCATTCATGCGTCAGCCAGTCCCACTTCAATATTGAGCAATTATCCTCAACAACCACAGCTTGAGCCACGCCACACCTGGTGATGATATGATCGCGGGTGGTGAGGAAAATGCCTCATTTCTTCCTTGTCGATCATTTCATCACATCTGCGGATGTTTAAAGAGCCATGTACTGTACAATCAAACTGCTGGATGTCTTGAAAATAATTCGCAACCCACCTATAGAATGCAGAGGGTTGTCTCTCTTGGTTTATGTAAATGATCTTTCAGGTGGGCAAACAAGATCTATCATGTGGTTAAATGACATGTTTTTCTGTATGTGCTCCAGAAATATTCACAAGTGCAAACACAACATTCAAACATAAATGGCTAGCAAAATTTATGTTTTTTCAGCACACCTACTGTACTGGTCAATCAAATGTACTGCCACTTTACTCTCACCTCTATGATCCGGGCCGGGAGATGAGAAAAATACAAAAACAGTCTGCTGTATTAGCTGTGGGAAGGCAGCAATGACACGGAGACCCCATTGCTCACACTATGCACTCATTATCTGCTGTGACTCCAGGTCTTCAATATTAGCCAGCAATAAGCACTCTGCAGGACCATCTGCTGTACCAGCATGGGCTATTCTGAGAGTGAGAGAAGCCGCCATGGAGAAGAAGGAAAGAAAAAAGATATACCATGCTGTTTGTTGAAATAAAAACGAGAAGAGAAGCCAAGGAGGGAGAAGGAACGTGAAGAGTGGAGCACACGAGATATATAAAAAAAAACCTACAACTTAATATGTAAAAGCCAGGTGAAAGCTGTGAAAGGCAGTTCAAAAGTGAGAGTAGAGAAAATTTCCCTAGGGCACAGTAGGGGAGACGTAACTCAGCCTAGTTAGAATCGATTACTAATTAGCACTGAGTTGATGACGGAAATAACAGCTTCTTCCTGTAGATGCTACCACCGAAGCAACTCCTGAGCATTATGAGGGTTGTGTCAAGCCCCCAAACTCTGATCAAAGATGAACTGATGTGCAGGAATTGAATGCTGAGCCTTTTGGAGGTACGTGTAATTGGCTTCATTTCATGACACAACGGGAGTGATATTTTCCTCTCACCTTTTCTTTCAACACCCAAATTAGGTCCCCCAAAGATCCTATGTGCACACAGTAGATGCAGAGGCAGGCTAAGAGAAGTGAAGATGCTTGAAAGCACTAATCAGTGTGGACAACAATGTCCAAGCAATTCATGCCTTGCTGAAATCAGGTGTGCAAGCCCTAGAACATCCTCTGAGGCCCCTGTGGTGTTATGCGACTCATCTCTTCCTAGCTTCAGTCACAGCAAAATACTCCCAGAGAGAATAGAGAATACACTCATGCCATTGTTTAATACATTAACTGCAAGAAATGTTTATGCACAGCACATAGGCAATCTGCAAGTGCTGGAGAATCTTACCTTCTGTCTGATCTCCTCCTCCATTTTGACAGGGGAACCCAGCTCAGCTACCTGTTTAACTCCGTCGCTAGCAAAGCCACCATATTCCCACAGCACGTAATTCTTAGAGTGGGAGGCACCGATGATGGCTGACCAGTGATTGGCACGACCTGGTGAAATAGACAATAAAGTATCTCATTAGTTGGACATCCCAAAGTTACGTCTTAATCACTCAGTTAGCCGATCATTTTTGCCATTTTCAAGGCACAGCTTTAGTAAAGCCCAGCTGACTGATGCATCAGTCCGTTGACTGACAGACCAAACACCTCCTTTGGTGCTTCATATTTACTCGACAAAGTGATTTGTTTCAGTCAAAATATTAATCCCTGTAGGTGCAAAGCACCTACAGTGTATTACTTTGATTTTATGCTCCCTCATAATCCTATCATCTCGTCTCCCCATCCTTCTCATTCAGGGCAAAGGTGTATGTTCCCAAGTGACATACAGGAAAGGGGATAGTCGAGCTCTATATCTGCTTTAAACCTGTGAGCACAGAGAGAATGCAGCAGCAGTAGTGATCCATCAGAGGTGACAGCACAGGCAAAGCTAAATATTTGAGCCTTATACAATTAACTTAGAGAGGGTGGAAGCTACAGCCCTGCTGTAACCTCCACTGTTGTGCAATCATAATAAAGCATGGAGGACAGCTGTTCAACTAGTATTGATGGGCTCTCTGGTGATGTTTACGTGTCATTTTGGGATATCCTTACTGTCTCACTGTGGGTCCTAAGCAGTCTGATTTGTCTACCTCAACAGCACAGGAATTGGATGTCTCATATTCCTTCATTACCCCCTACTGTCATATTATACCTCTGCCTAGTATGCTATTATGTACACATGAGTTGGAATGACATCCTGCTACATAACCCTGAGAGCACAATAATGACTTTACAGCCTCAATCAACATAAAATGTGTGCTTGAGTCCTGGTGGGTCTAACATCCCTAATTTTGAAGATAAACTGTAAACTTCATTTGCTTTCGACAGCCAGGAACATGAAGGATTATGGTTGTGATGGTAAGGATGGTATTCTACTTCTTACTTAGTCAAGGTGAGGTTCACTCAAATAGGTCATAGGTCTGCCTCTCATCTTTATGCCCTAAATAGAGCCCTTACTCTGCAGTTCTGTAAGTCACCCTTTCTGCCTTCTGCTGGTTCCCAGTGCTATTGTGAACAAAGATTAATCGCTCTGATAATCTAATCTCTGTTTGTAGTGTTCCTGTAACAGAGTGTAGTGTGGAAATGTAAACAGTTTTTCATAGGAAGTTAATGTAGGACCACTTTAAAATAAGATTTATTTCTCTTGACTTTTTACTTCTACAAAATTGTACTGTACTGAGATCTGGATGAACGCTTGGAGGCAAAGATAGATGGATGATTGTATTAGCTATACAGGACTAGTGGTGGACCAGTTGCTGTTTCATAAATCAGGTAGCCCCTTAGTGACCAACACATTTCGCAGCTCTCAGGGGACTCTGATATTTCTTTGCCTATTGTCTTCCTAAAACGTGGCATGACCTTGACTCACAATGTCCTACTCTTGCACTGAATATTTGCTTTGACATATTTTACTGTCTTTGATTATTATTGCATTACATGATTTTTCACATGGTTATCAAACATGTCCGATACACTCTTTAGTTTTGGATCGAAGCAGGTAAAAAAAACGCCCTAACAAAAAAAAAAAAAAACAAAACTCCTTCCTCTAGCAATGAATGTAATCAAGTATGGTTCTTGCTCTTTCTAGTGTTTCTGATGTCTCAAATACTGAGTGTATTGTTTTGTTTTGTTAAACCTTTTTGATAAAGTTGGGTTTTGGACAGTGTTTTTGATTAATGCAGAATTTCCTCTGTCACTGAATGGCTTTGACTCCTCACAGCCCTTGCTTACATGCAGCGCTTCAAGGTTCACTGCTCAGTATTTTTCCTTGTATGGACAAATCTGATACCATGACATCTTGTCTCATTCTTATGATGATTACACTCTTCCAATCAGCCAAGTGAAAGAATTAGATTCAGCTCTTCACAACTGTAATCTGTATTAATTACATAAGTATAAAATGTGGAATAAGATATTTCCTTTTCTAGCATCCTTTTGCTGGCCATGTTTCTACAGTAGCCTAGAATGGACAAACCAAGCACTGGCTCTAGATAGGGCCATTCGTGTTTATTGTGTTTTTACATCGGCCACCATTAATAGCAGCCCCTCCATGACGAGCAGCATCAGAAAAAACTGTTTCTATTTATTGTCAAAGTGCTGTATTCAGTGTTTAATCACTGGTTCTGTTTGTTTGGAGACTTCTTTGGATAATTCGACTTCTGCTGAAATCCACCTGAACGTCTAGATCTGAAGTTATCAGAGAAAAAGATGAGCACACATTAGCAGGTGCTGGGCTAGCGACCTGTCTCCGACAAGTTAAACAGCTTGTGAGAAACACTGATTTGCAATGTGAAACTGCTTTATTCAGTGTTTTTACCGGTTTAAATCACCAGGTCTATTTGTTTGGGAGAAGTAAAGACCTCTTTTGGCATTGACATATTTTACCTCCTGGTAAAAACCCTCTGAATGTCTAGATTGGAAAAAAAGGCAAGCACATGTTAAATTATCAGAAAAAAAAGTGAACACACATCAGCAGGTACTCATCACAGATAGGCCAAACAGCTAAAGTGAAACACTAATTTGTAACGCTGTATTCAGGGTCTTACTGGTTTTAATCACCTCATTTATAAACACTGCATATGCACAAAACGAGGCCTGAAAGAGACATATGGCACGTCCTACACAAAAGTTGAGATCTATAAAAACAGACTTGATGGGAAAAACTTTGAACCATGCTTACAAACATTTTGAAGACAAGAAATTGGCGACACAGATGGTGAGGTGTAAGCCTGATTGTAGAAACTGTTAACTATTTTTTTGGCACAGGCCAGTTTTGGCTTTTGTTTGTATACATGTTTAGTGTGGATCCTTTGCATTTGTTAATAAATGAAACCCCTGACCATTTGTTTTGGAGAGGAAGAGACCTCTGGCTCCTGGCAAAACTTTCCTGAGCAATTAACAGTAAGGATCTAACCAGGAGAGGTTTCAGCTGGTTACAGTCTGCAGTCATCACCACTAGAGGCCACGAAATCCCCCTAAATCTCACACATTGCTCCTTTAAAGCTTCTGTAATGTAGTCTCTAATAATCTGTCTGAACTTTATTTGCACTGTAAACCTGCATGCAGCTTTCTAATGCTAGCCGGGGTTGCGGGGGCAGCAGGCCAAGCAAAGCACCCCATACGTCCCTCACCCCACCGACGCTTTCCAGCTTCTCCTTGTGGACCCCAAAGTGTCCACAGGCCAGATGAGACACGTAATCCCTCCAGCATGTTCTGGGTATACCCTTTTTGGGCCTTTTTCCAGTGGGACGTGCCTGGGACACCTATAATGGGAGGTGCCCAGGATGCATCCTGATCAGATGTCCAAACCACCTCAACTGACCCCTTTTGACGCAAAGAAGCAGCGGCTCTACTCCGAGCTCCCTCTGCATGTCCGAGCTCCTCACCCTACCTCTAAGGCTGAGCCCAGCCACCCCACAGAGGAAACTCATTTTGGCCTCTTGTATCCACAATCTCATTCTTCCGGTCAGTACCCAGAGCTCATGACCATAGGTGAGGGTTGGGACATAGATGGACCAGTAAATTGAAAGGTTCGCCTTCCGGCTCAGCTTCCTCGTCATCATGAAGTTCTGGCACAGCACCCACATCACTTCAGACTGCACCAAACCACTGATCCATCTCTCACTCCATTCTACCCTCACTTGTGAACAAGACTCTGTGATACCTGAACACCCTCGCTTGAGGCAGTAAGAGTGGTCAGCTAAGGGGAGGAGTGGATAGTGGTGGTGGTTTTTCCTTAGGCTGTTAGAGAATATCAAAATACAGAATCAGGTTTAGAGATCTGCAATTGAAATGCACAGTGTGGTCCTTGGTTGGTTGGTTCTTCATTAGTTAGTAATAGCTTATGTCATTAGCTTCAGTACACGAGTTGAGTGATTGATAGCAAGTGCCTGTTGTTTTTCCATCCATTGATAATGAGCCCAAATCTGGCAAAACAGATTGTTTTGGGTAACTCCTCAACAACAGTTAGATTGGCCAAAAGCTGTGTTCTCCAGCGAGGAAATTAATGTGAGGAAAGTCTACAGAGCCAGGAGGGCTTTACTTTTTCAAGTACCTGAATGTTTATGTCAAGTAGGACACAGGGTCAACAAGGCTGAAGTTTGTTTGAAGAGTTTTGGATGTCTGCTGTATGAAAAAGTGGAAATGGGTTGCTACCTTGCATGTAGCAAAGACGAGGATAAAAAAAAAAATCTTTTAGTGCATTTTCTTCTTTATTTGATCTTGAAAGGACTTTAAGTCTTTGTAAGTATGGAAGCAACGTTATGAAAAGGGCAGGGATTACAGAAGCAGAAGATGCCTCTTACCACCTGCCCATCAATCCATATTTGTCTTGACTGTAAGGATTATTTCACACACATTAGTTGTTTAATATTTTTTGTTGATGCCCCTTTATGAAATTTTAAGGCTATTTGTGCTATGAGCTTTCATAAATATCTGACCCTGCCTGGCAGGGAGTCATTGCCAATATCTAAATTGCTTGAACATTATGGCTCTGGTTCACAGCTTTATATCCATCATCGGGTTATTTCACCTCAGGTTGAGGTAGTATTAGTTTACTTCAAAGGTGGGTATAACGGGCGCCACTGTCCTCCTTTTTAATGCGGTTTTAGTAGGTATTAGTGCTTGAGGTCAGTGTTGTGGCTCTCGTCCATCTTCAATTTGTGGAAATGTTTTTTATAAGATACAAGGGAGAGAAATAGAGCAGTGACATGACATGTGCCGAGCTGCATAGTCTCAGAGTCCTTTAATGACCTGCTATAATTTTACAGGGCTGTGTTAGGAATATGAAGCCCCATAAGGAAATAACCGCCTCCTCTGACCTCTCTATACAGGTTAATAGGACTCTCTGGACCATTTTCCATTGCTAGACCTCAGAAAATACTTGCAGACTAAACAGAGACATTCAACAGAGCTCTGATTAAGTGGTGACGCACAAAATTGTTGTGCAGCTG